GTTAGCGCCTCTAGTAATATATTTACTGAGAAAAATGGTGACGTGTTCAATACTTATTTTACCCGCTGTATATATAGTAGTTTAACAACCTCAGCATGACACCTCCATGATTAGTGGAATATTTGTCAGCATATTTTCCCCCCACATCAGACTGTATTGTTCCAGGACTGCTTGTCCAAAAATAGGTTGCTCCGTCTGCAGATGGGCACCTCAGAACTCCTACTCTTGCCTTTCTAAACCCCAACACATTGGCTTYATATGATCATTACTTTTAATACAGGAGAAAGTATTTGATGATTTGATTCATTTCCATTTAGGTTTCAGTTGCAATCCTTCAAATGAGATCATAAAATGCACTCATGTTTGAAATACTTCCACATAACGGAGACCTAACGACCTGTTTTCTCTCTCTCTAAAACCTCAGATTTAGACATTTACGCCTCAAACAAAGAAAACTGAGAGATTACGTCAGTGAGATGGTGGACCTCCCAAAGGTAAATTACAGACAGCCACTGGAATATTTTGCAAATGTTTCACAGTAAAAAGAAAAACACCAAAAAATATGTTTTTCTTTTGTTTCTATGCATTAAGATGCTTTGAAGGCTATAAAATCTCACAAACGAGCAGAGGTTTATAAAGTACTTGAAAAAAATAACTAAGTAAAAGTAAAATTACATGAACAGAAAATGACTTTGGTAAAAATAAATTTCACTGATAAGAAAACTACTCAGGTAAAAGTTAAACTCTTCCCCCCAAAAATGATAAAGTAAAAGTAAAAGTACTTTTACACACTCTCTGAGAAATAAACTGTTAAATTTACTGAACCAAACTGGTTCCACTATGTCAGGTTGAGTAAAATGAACAATATATGTATATTCTTTGCTCAGTTTAYTCACATAGGCTCAGTGGAGCCAGTTGATATCACTTTGTTGAGTAAATTCAACACTTCATTTTTTAGAGTGCAGAAACATCTTTCATGATGAGCTCAAACAAATTTAATTTTGTAACGAGTAACTAGGTGTTACATTTTAAAGTAAAGAAGTAAAAGTGTCATTTTAGCTTTAAAATGTAATGAAATAAAAGTAAAAGTAGCTGTTTAAAAAAATCTTTGGTAAAATTACGAATCCTCAAAACTACTAAAGTACTGTAACGAAGTAAATGTACTTATAAACCTCTGCAAATGAGAGGCACTGTGCAGTTTAAGTGTTAATTCTAACACCCATGGAGTTCTGTGGAAATACTATGAAAAAAATAATATCTTACCTGTTGTAGATAGCTCTTTGAGCACAGAAATCTCAGTAATTCATGTGAGCACTGTTTAATAAACGGTTACATTGTTGGCAGCTTGATATTACAACTATCTACATACAATTCTATGTTTTTTATTTATTTTTACTTTTTATTTTTTTTTAGAAAAATGATTAACGGCAGAGGCGGTAATCTGTACAGCCTGGAGAATTTTTGGCAAAAAAATATCATTTTACTCCTGAAATAAATGTGTAATATGCAGTAAAGTTTTCTTAGTTTTTTTTATTTTTTTTATTTTGCATAAATTGTGATACTTGAGATCTTAGTTGTTTCACTTCAGTCTCAGCCGTGCTCAAACTAGCAGTTAGCTCATCAGTCCAATCAGAAACTGGTTCCTTATGAAAAAGATCCTAAACAAGTGAGATTTAAATTGTTCATATTTTCACAGAACGTTTCTTTACMGATGAGCAATCCCTTAGTTTAAAGTACCTGTCGYCTGAMATATTTGTAATAAATATGAATGCGTTTTTGGGAAAGATAACATTGATAACATGTTGCAAAATGAAATTTCAATTCGCTGAGATGAACAGTCGTTGAGGTATTTGCACGTGAAGTAATGGGAAGTTATGTCAAAGGGGAATGTCTGAATGTAAACAAAGCATTTGACCAACAACACAGATTGGAGACAAGAATCAGATATTTCTTTAGATTATTTTGAGTCACTTTTAGAGAGTTCAAATAATGTTGTTTCAATAAACAAAGACAAGGGAGTTCCTTTTCTTAAAGAGATCCCGCTTGATGTCACTTTGACACTTTTACTTCAAAAGAAAATATTCCAGTTATGTGACAAAATCAGTGGTGGGCAGTTTCCCTAAAGCACTAATAGGGAAGCTAATTTCCTGATTAGTGCTTTAGGGCTTTTGCCTATTTAAAAATGTATTAGTGGATTAGCACTTGTTAAATTTAGAAGCTCTAACTGAGGTCTATAAATGTTATTATTCAATGTTAATGTTAACACTTGATGGTGAAAGCTGTCACACATTTTGTTCATTTGTGACATTTATTCACCAGGTGACAATATATGAAATGAAACAAGGCTGAGGAATGTCAATGAGAAGTCTTAAGAGAGCAACATGTGACTCATGTTGTCTGTTGAAGAATGGTAATGGGTTGACTGGGTTATTTTAGTGCTTTAGAATTAGCTTTTGCTAAAACTTTCAGTGCTTTAGGGCTWGTGGAACTAATTTTTAGATTAGTGCTGCCCACCACTGGACAAAATGGTTAAACATATTGTGCCAGATGTTTCCTTTGACTTATTGTTTGACTATGCATGTCACAGGAAGTCCTATAATGGAGGGGAAAAAAAGTTTTAATGTTATCATTGGGTTTTATCAGATGCAAATGATCATGTGCGACCTCAGCGCCAACTGGAACAACTCGTACAGAGAGCTGGAGCAGCGAATCCACTCCATGGAGCAGAAGCTGGATGAGCTGAATCGCTGCTTCCAGCAAACCTCTCAGCTGCTGTCAGAGGTCCTGCGTCGCAGGAACCCAGAGATCAGGTAAAACCGCATCCCACGGCGAGTTCGCCTGAGAGACACCGTGCAGAACTGCTGACAGAACGAGACAGGGCAGGATGTGGTAGATGAGCTGAAATGAAACGTTTCTGATTTGTTATTTATTTTGCAGGTGACATGGCTTTGATTCCACGATAAGAAACATCTGTCCCCCACACAGAGCGGCAGCAGACATTTAAACCACTCGGGAGCACCAGCACGTCTGGCCACAGCTCAGCGTGAACTGCACGAGTCACTGCTGTAAAATCAAATACGACCGATGTAAACTGTGGAGGGAAMGAGAGAAATAAATCTGTTTAGATTTATTTGTGATGGTGCACAAATAACTGAATTCATCTCAAACAAGGAGAAGTGGAGATTCTTATAAACAATGTAAAAAATATTTATCTTGAATTCTAATAATGCCCAATTCCTGTGGAATATGTTGTACATTTAATTGATTTATTTTCTTTGAAGTTTTAAAAACACATTTTATGTCTCAGTATTAGACTGTTTAATGGTTACTCAGTTGATTATTGCTTGCAAACTTCTACAATTTACCACAATTTCTATGTATTTTTTCATTCCAGGAAGCAATTTGGCGAGAAAAAAAAAGACAGATTTTACATTATTGCAYGTGTTAAATAAAGAAATGTTTATTTTTTTAAACAAATGGTTCAAAACTAAAAAAAAAAAAACTTTACATATTGGGTTGTAGTTGTCAAATTGTATGTAGACGTTTCCACCTGTTGAGCCTCAGATAAATGTATGACTCAGCTGCGCCATCTAGTGGACAAAACATACACTGTTTAAAAATAACTGCAGACCCATTTAAAGAAAATTAACTATTTTGCTTCCAACAAGAACTACCTATATGTCTTAAAGAACAAAATTTGACAAAAAAAAACTATATAAAAAAAACCTTAATAAAAATGCACTTTGAGTGAACAACTGCAAAACTGGATGACCTTTTAATAAAGGGTAAACTGGATTGTTATGTTTTAATGAAGTACTGGAAAAAAAGGTTTCCTGTGGGTTCATTTGTACKTTTAATGTCAAACGCTCTGCAGAGGAAATGACTCAGAACTAATAGTTTGTGTCATTTTGCACATTAAAAACCATGTTAACCACCCAACCACAACATGATTTCATTTTAAAGCAGTTAAGAATAAATWAGGTTTAGTTGTTTGTTATGATTCGTCATTTCTAAACATGAATTAAAGAAAAGTGATTACCACAAAATGTGTGCAGTTGTTTTCATATTCAGTTGTGTTACAGAGAAAAATGTCTGAGGTCCTGAACTACTTCAACTCTTTGTTTTTGGTCCAGTTTTGAAGTTGGTGCCATATGTAAGCAGAAGGCCTTAGAAACAGCTGCCCGCAGTCACATAAAAAGGGCATGCTGCATTTGTTCTTCTCTGGAGCCTTGAATTCGCTTCCAGAGCGGGCCTTTTTCCACGGGTTTCCCATTACGTGCTGCGCCAAGAGTTTCGCGCCGATGAAAGTCTTCCCGCAGGTGGCGCAGATGTAGTTGGAGGCCTCTGCGTGCCGAATGCAGTGTCGCAGCAGGTGCAGCCGGTGCTTGAAGGCCCGCCCGCACTGACACCGGTGTAAGCGCCGGCCTCGGTGGAGGTAGCGATGGGTGATGACGGAGGACGGCTGGCGGAGGATGGCGCCGCACTGCCTGCAGGGGTGGTGGGGCTTGGAGCGCTGGCTTGACTTCGCCTGCTTCTTTAAAGCTGGCTGTTGGCTCTTGCTGTCCAACGGCGAGATGCTTGTGGAGTAGCCGTGCTCGGAGCCCGTGCGCTGCGGCGGCGAGTCGGAAGTGCTGGAAAACGAAGGGGCGAAAATTTGGTTTGCGATTTGGTGCACGAGAGAGGAGGTCGACCCCGCTGCGGGAGGCATGCTTGAGAGCGAAGCGGCAAGGAGAGAGGACAGGTTTGAGCGCATGACGTTGGGCAGAGATGCTTCTTGAGTTTTGTTTATGCCAACGCCTCCGTTAACAGCCGGCTTCGGTGCGCTCGGCGGAACCGCTTCTTCCCTTTTATTAGCCAACAGTGATGGATTCGTGGCGATGCAGATTTTGGTGGTGACTACCGACGTGTGAACTTTGGTGACGTGGATCGACAGCGTCTTTTCCGAGATGAAAAAACACTTGCAGATGTTGCACACTTTCGGCATCGACTCGGCACAGAAGAGCACCAAAGTGGATTTGCCGGCGTTGCGACACTGGTGGCGGGAGTACGCCGCCTGGCTGGGGAAAACCTGGCCGCAGCTGTGACACAAATGCAACGGCATGTGGTGCACTCGCAGATCAGTCTTCGAAGGAAGGATCTTCTTGCATATGACACACGGATATTTCTGCTTGACGCCGGTGCAGTAGCGCCAGTGTTGCTTCAAAGACCTGAACGGCCCCCTATCGCACAGAGAACATGTTCCAGTGGTCTCGGTGGGGACCGAGTCAGAACGGTCAGCATCGCCCTTAGAATTGTCAGGTTTGGAGCTTGATGGGGGGCCTTCTTTCTTTGTATTACTTTTCTCACCAAGTCCTAGACGTCTTTTGCCCACTTTTTCTTTCATTCCGTTTTCAGACGGAGGCTTTCTCTGTTTCACCGCCGCTTYTTGTACGGAGCTCAAACTGTGCTCTGTGCTATGATGAGTTGAGATCATGCTTCTCTGCTCAGTCGCCTGATCGGGAAAGCTGTTCGGCCTGGCACACAAGGAACTGTTTTGAACTGACAAGGAGCTTTTGCAGAGCGTCTTGGCGTGCTTGTTAAGAACCCAGACGTTTTCAAAAGACTGGCGACACAGGAAGCAGAAGGGGGGAAAGTGAGCGTTCTCCAGGTGGATTGAGAGAGATGTCAGGCGACGGAAGGTAATTTCGCAGATGTGGCAAGTGGCTTCGATGTTGTGGCTTTTATAATGCAGCATCAGGCTGTTTAAGTCGTGGATCGTTTTGCCACACTCCCAACATTTGGACTCTGGATGCTGGACATCCCCCTGGGGTTTTGTGGATTCACACCAATCTCCATCACTGCTGGAGTCTTCGGACATATGGAGCAATCAATGCAACTTTGGATGTTCTGCAATTCAGAAAACAAAAGCCGAAATTAACCATTTTATATATCGATTTGTCTAGCATCGGGCATGCTGATGAGAAGTGTTACTTTAGCCGAATGACATGGCTCAGAAATAAGACTATAAAACAGAACAAAAGATTCACACATCATAACAATAACTACATTCACACTGCATGTAATAATGCTAAACTCAGATTTTTTTATTCAAAAACTACATTTTAAATTAGCAAAAGCCTTAAATCACTAATCAGGAAATTAGTTCCCCTATTAGTGCTTTAGGGGAACTGTGCCCACCACTGGATTTGGGTCACATTTGCCTGCAGTGTGATTGTAGCCAATTACTTAATACTAATGCTTGAGTTATTTATCAGTGTGCATTGCCAATGCAATGCACACTATTGTGATTAGTTTCCCATCCAAGTCATCTCAACTTACTTTAACAAAAATCTCTTCAAACTTCATATTGTCACACAATTACCTTAATTACAAACACCTGCCAACATGACAGGCACAAGCTGGTAAAGAAAACACATTTGAACTTGGTCAAAGTTCATTCTGAAAGTCCAATGCTCCTGCCTACATTGTCCTACAGSTGCCATTGTAATTTCTATCTGTAAAGGTCGTGTGCCAAATGATTGCTTTGCCTTTTGCTGCCTGTAACACTTGTAGTTTTTGAAATATTAATGTTTAAACTTTATTCCAAATTCATATAATGGGAGTCAACGGAGCCTTGTAATGGTCCAATACTGCCCCCAGCTGTACTCAACTTGGTACTGCACCATAGTTTTTTAATATTTAATCTCAATAGTTCAATGTTTTGTATTTTGATGTTTTACTATAATATTGTCTTAATACTGCTCTATTGTTGTAATATTATGCAGTTTAGTGTCAATAATTGTTTTGGCAATGTGGCCTCTTTCTGCACACATACAAACCAACCCCTGCCACCACCTTCTTCCACTGGTCTAATGGTCTATGTCGTGGACTTTCATGTGGGAGATCAGGGTTCAAAACCTGTCTAATGCAACTTTAACAAAAAATCTCTTCCAACTTCATATTGTCATTCAATTACCTTAATTACAAACACTTGCTCATGTGACAGGCACAAACTGGTATAGAAAACACATTTGAACTTGGTCCCATTTCATTCTGCAAAGCCATGCTGCAATGACATGCAATATGGCAATGCACACTTGTTTTTACATCGTAAAAACCCATGTCTAGTTATAAATGTATTCTTAAATTCAACATGTGAGAATGAACTGTGATTTGATAATAGTTCATGATCCACAAAAGACAAAAGACTCTTACTTTGACATTAAAGGAATATTTTGAAGAGGTGTTAAAAGAACAAATAATACCTCTCTTAGAAAACCCTCAGTTTGGAGTTAGAAGAATAACATTGAAAAATGACAACATAATGAGGAGTTAGAGCGGAGAAAGGGGATTGTAATCACCTTAAATTAAACTCARTGCACAACAACTTATGGTGGTTTTATGAAAACCTAGTAATTCTGGCAAAAAATATTAGTTATTAGTTATACTAAGAAGGGTGTTGACACAAAATTTTAAACAAAGATTTTGATTAATCTCTTTGTGCTGTGAATATTTAGGAAAATATGTTGTGGATCAGATAATTAGCTTAAAAGTTTTTTTTTTTTTTTTTGAAAGGTCGGTTGGCTGTGGCAGCCATCTTGAATCGGGGTTGAATACACAAGTCAAGAAGTAGTTTTAAAAAGACAATGATTACTTTCTGCAAGTTAAATAAAAAAAAATCTGTCCACTGGTTCATAAGATATTTTACTAACAATACTATCACCTCCACACACACGCACGGGCAAAAACATCATACTTCACAGGCAGGCGATAGTGACACGGCAATTTTACGGGAATGTTCCTTAAAAAGAAGTAGCTTTGTGCGTCTAAATTAGAATCCAAGTTGTGTTTTAGTTTGCAAGGCAATGGATGTCTGCGAGCTAAACATGGCAGAAACAGTTTATTCATGGCCTAGTGAGAATACGCATGCGCACAACGTCATTGTTTTAATATGCAATATTTATGAGTTTTAAAGAGATTTCACTTGGTTCCTGAGAAGTTTAGATAGTCCAACATTTTCTTACCACTCACCAGCCATCAGTCAGAGAAAAAGTTACATGAACAACAAAGGTCSAAGTATTGTCGGTGAGTTGTGGTAGCCATAGCATAGCTCTTCCACCAGAGCTTGGTCACTGATAACAAACGCTACTTTAACCAWTGTTTATGGCCGCCATCTGTTGAAATACAAAGTACAGGTAGTCTACTTACCTTTGCCTGCAAGTGCAAGCGAAAGCTGACGATTCGTGAGGTATTAAAATATATATATATATTTCTCGTGGACCCTTTTATTAATAACGATAATATCATGAACTGTCACTAAGTTAAACCTAGCAATCTCTTTCTTACATGTTTTTCTGTATCACATCTACTTGGAGATGTGAAGATAATTCATCTAAAACAAACAAAAATAAAAAATACACCCTTTTCAATAATAAAGGAGGACTTTAGAGATGGCGTCCAAATGCACGAGTTAGTTCACATCCGGTCTAAACCGGAAACAGTTGTCTCCAACTTCCTGAATGCGGCAAAAAAAAAAAAACATTGCAATTCGTGTAATTTAACGTTTCTAACCTTGAAAAAAGTTGGCGGTACATTTAAATATCCAAACATTTCATGTTGAAAACAAATAATCTGTTTAATTAAAACTACATTCTTGCAGTACGACTAATAATTGTGTGCCTACATCTCCCATAATGCATCAGTTATATTGCCATTTAACTCAGTTCATTTGTGCTTGATAATCTTGGGCTTAACCAACTACAAGTTTTGAAAAATGTATATGTATATTGATAGAAGCATTAGGACAGGCAATGTAGAGTCGAAAAATTCTGCTTTAGTTGTCATTAAAGCACAATACTTTTTCTATTACAAGAAATTGGAGAAACTGTTTTTCCTGCATTCCTGTGTTTATATTTTACAAGAAAAGGCATTTTATTTTAAATTCAGACACATCTTTAGAATAAAAAATAAATAACAAAAATCAAAAGGTTTTATTAAAAAAAATAATAACTGTACTGCAGGCACCCTTTTGTGTTTTCAAAAGCTTGACATGTATAAACTCAGTTTTGCCTCAGTTACAAACATTAAAATCATCGATTTTTTATTTATTGGTTTAACTTAGACAATTGTATAAGGSGCATTCAGCACAGACTTGTCGTTTGCACTTGTCACTGGAAGCATCAGCAATCTTCAGAATGYATCCATTGAAATGTCGCCTGAATTTTATTTATTCATAGTTTATTTTGTCATAGGTTAAATGCACCACACACAATAGTAAAATGGTGTAACAGCTTATAAAGCTAGAAACACTGWTACTACACATCATCTTTTGTTGGGTCATACTTAACTAAACCTGAACTTTGCTCATTTGTTCTGACAAGTGGTGTTCTAAAAAATGAAAACGTTATCCTTTGAATTAAGTAGCATATATATAACAAATGTAAATAGGTTCAATATKTTCTCTTCGTGAGCTTTTAATCTTGCTACATACTACTAAAATGTCTGTACAAAACGATTTTATAAAAGCAACAAATTATAAAATTATAGCTTCGTAAATTCCTTATAGTATTTATTT